TCCGCCTATGTATTATTAGCATTTATATACCATTGGTAATATTTTCAAAACTAAAAAAAAACTTTAAAATTGCCTGATTACAACGATCATAGAGATAGCGTCCTTAATTTGATCAATGATTTGACGGCTTAGTAGCATAGTGGTTTACTTTTGTATGGTCTACATGTAGATTTTATGGTTTGTATGTGCTATATGTGTATGTAAATTACTTCCACGATAAAGGAGAAAACCTTAGTTTGTAGGTACTGTTTTTAAAATAAAAAATATTAAAAGCGTTGCTAGTATTCATTGAAAAATAAAAGTATGACTTAAAATTCTAAAATAATATTAAACTACACACAAACCAGTAGTTCAGTTCATAAAGCTAAACTCAGTAACTCTACCACATTCGTAGTAAACTTATTTGCTATATTTGACTTTGTGAATAAGCTAGACTCTGGAACGATGCACTTCATTTTATGTTATTCCAGCGAGATTTATTTATTGAAAATATAAGGTTTAAAGTTTGCACATAAACAATTAAGGATATTAATTTATTATATTCATTTCATAATTGACACTTTTTTAACGTGGTAAAGCCATCCTGCAGCTTATAACAATATGATTACAGCTAAGAAACTCTAATTAAAATAGCACGAAGTTCTAAAGAAAAAATATAAAATACTTCATTTATTAGTGAATTTATTAGATTGAGTTATTTTTATTTTTTGGCGTCGGTCATGTTTACACATCACACCCGAATATAAGCCTGTGCTTGTAAAAAACATCCGATTCTGCATTTCCGAATGCAGCGCCGGCACCGCCGACACCGAGTATCCGCTTGCCGTTATTAAAAGCACTTAAGGCGCAGGTTGAGCAAAATGTCGCGCTAGTCGTTATTTGTGCGGTTTTTAGAAGCGATCTACTTTTTATTTAAAAGATATATCAACAAATAAAAAACACATTATATTTCTACATAATCTTGATTCCATAAAAGCTATATCCATTTTTTTTAAAGGAATAAATATTAATATAATCTCCTTACAACGAAACCACATAAATGTGAAATTATTATTGATAACATGCATCTCCTCGTAAAGTAAGTATTATTTTAATTTGCGATTTACACCAATGGATAGGCAATTTATTAATGAACATTTCTATAGTATAATTTTTTTCAAAAGACCAAAATTTGATTTTATTAAGAAATTATTTTAAAATCTGGGCATATTCACTGCCCACGGGCTTGCTGAAGTCAGTGAGCCCTGAGCTCTTCGACGTGAAGCCCGTGTCGTTAGAGCGTCGACCAGCACATACGCCACGTCATATTAGTCGATAATATTATTACTTATTAGGTTATTTATAGGTAGTATTATTTGTTTGTTTTGGGTATAATTTTTCGTATTAGTTATACATATATTTGTTGTGTTTTTTAATGCGCGATGAAGCTTTTTGCGTGTATTTTCTTTGAAGTAAATGCAAATAAAAAAATGAAGTACCATTAGCATGTAAGGTTCGAATCCATAATTAAAATTTCGACAAATATTATAATTTACACTATAAAAGGCTAATTCAATATTATCACCCAACCACAATATCTTATTAGGTATAGTACTGCCTCGTTGGTCTAGTGGTTGTATTAGTGCGACTGCTGATCATGAGCTCCCGGGTTCGAATCCTGGGTCGGGCCAAAAAGTCTGTTATGAGTTTTTCATTTATGTTCTAAGTTATAATTAGTATTACTAAGTTATAGTTTTTTGCTAAAATATAGTATATTATTTATTGCTTGTTTTTTCTTCTTTTTAAAAAAATAATTGAGTACATAAGGTGTTCGCATAGAATTATTACGCATAGAATACTAGTACGCGCACCGAAAGTGAAGCAAGTTAAACTAACGCGAAACCGCGTTAGTTGACTCAGCGACGCGTCAGTGCGCAACGTCACGCCTTACGGAGAAGAGCTCGTGAAAAATTGTAAAAATTACCGTTTATGTTGTAAAATATTGTCACAACGGTGATGATAAACATAAAAGAAGTGATGGTATTACATTTCACATATAGGTTTATACATTTAATTCATTATAAGTACGTAAAACTAAAATAATACTTACCTAAGCTCTCCTAATACAAATGTTGCTAGTTGTGGGGAAAAAATCACAATTTTCTTTTAAAAATATTTATTATCTATTTGTGTTTAAAACGCTCTGTGTAAAACTCAAACGTTTATATATAGATACCTACTTCTCTAAGTGTTAACATTATATTAACAATGGGTACCTATTTAAAACTAATACGGAGTGATCAGCTAATCGCGATTCGTCGACGCCATTTTAACGCAACTATTTTATGTTAATTGCTTTTTTTATTGACTAAGGTTACGTTTTAGAGTATAGAATAAAACTTTATTATTTACAACATCATGAGATTATTAATAAGAACTCCTTTACTAACCAGACTTCACTTTACACCCAAACATTAACCAGATATTACGTTAGACCCAAACATAGCCTATTTTAACCTACTCCCAAAAAGAAAGGTTATCAATATGTATGTACACTGATTTCTAAGCTTGATCAATTCGTATATACATGCTGAAATTTTAGTAGTTGTTGTCCCGCAGCCAAATTATACTGTCTCGATAGTAAAGTCAATTTATTAAATTAAAAAATATTACAATTAAAAAAGGGCAGATTTACAATAGTAATACCTCACAAAATATTCGGGCGTCCAAACTAGTTTATGTCGTATGACTACGATTGAAAGTTCATGTTATGAACATTTATTAGTGGCCCTTCACTATGTAGGATCGCGGGAGCACGTGCGATAGACGTAACACTACATTACGTCCAGCGAATTTTTTTTCAGACTTTATTATAGTAATTCGGTATAAGCTAGCCTGCACACCCGACCTACTTGCGAGATATTGCTATTGGTTTGAGATCGCATTCGAGTTTTGTTTTTCTCGATTGTAAATCTGCCTTTTTTACATCCTAATAATTTTATTTTAATAAATCTATTGTACTACTAAGGCAAAATCATTTTACTTCGGGAAAACAACCATTAAAATTTCATCGTGTCTATTGGATCAATCTGTGTGTATATCCTTTCAAATAAAAAAATCTAAATCAGTTTAGAAATTGTAGAATTCTGAGGTAAAAAGCATTAAAAAAATACACCGAATTGATAACCTCCTCCCTTTTTGAAGTCGGTTAAAATTAAACATTACACGATGTGCTTATTGTATTCGAGCAAATTAATTGTGTATAATAATATTCTTAAATTTTATTACGTCTGCATTTTTTACCATTAATATATGTATAATAAAGTTATATTAGTACCATCATTATTTTAACAGTGGTAGAGCCACGCGGCAGCTTTTGCTGTCGCATGGATGGGCCGGCTCGAACCGGGGTGGTACCACGACCTCACAGAATACCAGCGTGAAGTAGAGGTTTACCTCTGCGTTTCGTTTGGTGAGTGCAGGTGGCCGGAGGCCCTTTTTACTGTAAATGAGGCATTCCATCTTAGTCCTCACGGGTGACAACGCATCTGCATTTTGATTCGCAAACGAGGATAGATGTAGATGTCTATGGGCCGCAGCAACGACTTACCATCAGGTGGACTGTGTGCTCGTTTGTCACCCTTATCCTATAAAAAAAATGATTATCGTGTTTATTTTATTCCATTTTATATTCTCATAAAATACACCTTCGTACGTAATACGTAATCTTTATTATATCGATTTTTTAAAATTAATCAAAAAATAGTGATTTGCACAATTTGATTGCAAACGCCAGAAACTGGTATCACTGAATGGCGTGTATGTGTGCGTGTGACGAGCGTAGGCACATTCGACTCGCGCCCACTAACATTATGACCTTGCATCATTTTAACGCTCGTGTTTTGTACTTGTTAATGAAATAATAAGTTTAGACTGTTTAAATCTTTTAATCTGTTATTAATTTTTAAACACAGCAAATTTCAAACTACTAGACCTCCGTTTTTTTTCTAAAAGTTGCCATTTATATAAAAACAACTCCCTAGGAGGCTATTAATACCATAGTGATTTATAACAATTTTCCCAAGTAATTTAAATAACAATATTTAAACAATAAAAAGGACAGAATTAAAACCTTAAATTAATATTTTTAACAGTCGGCCATCCTGAAATGGTGGCTGTCCCAGACACAAGAAAAAAAAAATGTTATTGGAATCAAATGTAACCATCAATTGTCTATTATACTGGAACACATTCATATAATGAAATATTACACATTGCAAAAAAAATTACAAAATTACAACTGGTAGCTTGATAATTTGTCGGCCATCCCGCACCACAGAATGTCCCCATTCTGTACAATGTTTAGATGTTGGAATTATGTGCCTTGAGTTTGTTCAGCGTCCCTTTCTCGCGAGAAGTTCACAGCATCTGTACAGCAAATTGGGTCGGCTGGGCACCGCTTGCATACATAGTATGCTTCGGCCTCACTCCAGCGAAATTAAGTAATCTCTAGGCACCGCTTGCACACACAAGGTACTTCGGCCTCTCTCTAGAGATTTTATATGAATGGGCACCGCTTGCACACAAAGGGTGTTTCGGCATCACTCCAGTTCATTTCAAGTCAACAAGTCTGGGCACCGCTTGCACGCACCAGGTGCTTCGGCCTCACTCCAGATCATCAACAGCCAACAAGTCTGGGCACCGTTTGCATTCGCAAGATGCTTCGGCCTCACTCCAGGAAATTTCATTGTTTACTGGGCACCGTGTGCACACACAAGGTGCTCTGGTCTCCCTCCAGTCTTCTAGGATATCAGCATTGCTTTACTGCCAGGGCACCATGTATGCACCCTCGTTGGCATCATAGAGTTCAATTAGGACTGGATGTTGGAAAAGAATACTCAGGACAAGGAATTAAGGAAATTTGTATATTTGAATAGCACACTATATCAGAATCACGGGGCAGTAGTATAAATAACACAAAAAATTACACGATTTGTACGGGTGAATAATTAGATTAATTGTTAGTTACTGTCGCAGTAATCACTTTCGGATTCTGAATCATTAAATGTCACCCAAGGCTTTAATTTATCTACCGGGAAAACGTTACTATACTTTTTTTTTGAGTAACCCTCAACGCTACAAATCAAATAACGGTCATGGTCCAACACTGCTGTCACGCGATATGGGCCACTGAAGGCTGGGACAAGTTTCTGATTCTCTCCGGGTGTCCTGGTACTCTTTTGTGCCATTACTAAATCCCCGACCTTGTATACTTTGGCCTTACATCTTTTTTTATCAAACTGTTCCTTCATTGTCGCTTGTTGTATAACTAACTTATCACTTGCCTCATTCCTGATTTTCTGTATAGTTTCGGGCGAAATATCTTTAGATGAAATTATTTCGTGCAGGTGAGTCTCAGAAGCATTTACCGTATTTTTTCCGAAAATAATTTCTGTAGGACTTTTGCCAGTACTTTGGTTCACTGTATTATTGAGACTCCATTGCACCTGATTAATATGAAGGTCCCAATTCCTATCATCCTCTCCATGACATAAAGCTGTGATCGACGCCAGGATTGTGCGGTTATACCGCTCAATTTGGCCACTAGCCCGAGGGGTAGCCACTGCGTTTAAGATGTGCTTAAGTCCTACTGATTCAACGAATGTTTTAAATTCATTGGAAGTAAAGCTAGTTCCCCGATCAGATATCAAGCTTTGCGGTACCCCGAATAGTCCGAATACGTCCTTAAGAACGTCGATCGACGTCTTGCTTTTTGTATTTTTGACCGCTTTTATTACCACAAACTTTGTGAAGCTGTCAATTATACCGAGAATATACATATTACCTCGTTTGGTTTTTACAAAGGGACCCAAATGGTCAATATGTAAGCATTGAAAAGGGTTACAAGGTTTTGGTATGGAATGTAGAAATCCTTGTTTTTTACCGCCTGGCTGTCGGGCATGTGCGCATGGAATACAAGCACGTACATATTTTTTTACAAATTGAGTCAATTTAGGAAACCAGTAATCTCTTTTCACTTTTTCCAATGTTTTCTCACAGGAAAAATGACCAGCTTCGTCATGGCACTGTTGACAAATCTTCCACCGTGCATCTCTAGGTACCGCCCATCGTAATTGGCCTTCAACTCTCCTATAAATCTTACCATCTTTCAGTACGTAGTTATTCTGAATGTCTTTTGCCTCTTGACTTTTGGCATCCAATACAGCCTTTATATGGCAAAGTCTGGGATCACTCATCTGTACCGATTGTAACCAATGCACTTCTCCTATTTGTAGCACATTAGTAAAGCTATTCGAACTGTAGAATTCATTAGCCTTTTCTGAAGATAGTGCGTTTCGGCTGAGTGCATCTGCGTGAGCTAATTGTTTTCCTGGACGGTATTCAATTGAAAATGAAAATTCTTGGACCAAGAGCCACCATCGAGCTATTCTCGGTATAAGGTCTCTCTTGGACAAAGTTGTACGCAAAGCATTGCAATCTGTAACAACCTTGAAGTCAATGCCAATGAGATAAACTCTGAATCGATTAAGCGATGCGACAACGGCCAGCGTCTCAAGTTCATAGGAATGAAAATGTTGTTCCTCGGCTGTAGTCTGCCTGCTAAAATATGCTATAGGTCGAAACGCTGCAGCTGCACTTTGACGTTGGAGCAAGATGCCGCCTAGTCCGGAGGAACTAGCATCATTGTGCAATTCGGTCTCATAGCAGGGATTATAAATGGCTAATACTGGGCGTGTTGTTAATATTCTTTTAAGTTCAGAAAATGCTTTTACTTGGTCTTTATCCCAAGTCCATGTTGCGTTTGCTTTTGTAAGAGAGTTTATAGGTTTGGCAATTGAGGCGAAGCCCGGTACAAAACGTCGAAAGAAACTCGACAAGCCTATAAACTGACGAACCTCGTGTACATTTTCGGGCACCTTAAAGGCAGCAACAGCTTCAATCTTTTTAAGACCTGGCCTTACACCTTCGTGCGATATCTCAAATCCAAGGTAGTTAATTGATTTTTTAAAGAAATTACATTTCGTAAGGTTCAACCTTTTTTTTTTTTTTTTTTTTTATAGGAGAGGGGGCAAACGAGCATGCGGCTCACCTGATGGTAAGTGACTACCGCCGCCCATGAACAACCGCAACACCAGGGGAATTGCAGATGCGTTGCCGGCCTTTTAAAAAGGAGTAGGCTCTTTTCTTGAAGGTCCCTAAGTCGTATCGGTCCGGAAAAATCCCTGGTGGTAAACTATTCCACAAGGAAGTTGTGCGAGGAAGAAAACATCTTCTAAATCGCACAGTGGTGGACCGCCAATCATCCAGATGGTGTGGATGGTATCGGGAGTTCTGCCGCGATGTGCGTTCGTGAAATTTGGCGGCTGGGATTAATCCGAACAATTCCTCAGAGCACTCCCCATGGTAGATGCGAAAGAAAATGCAAAGAGATGCAACATCTCTTCGCAGTGCCAATGAATCGAGCCGATCGGAAAGGGCTCGGTCGTCGACGATTCGAGCCGCTCTGCGCTGGATGCGGTCAAGTGGAAGGAGCTGGCACTGGGGAGCCCCTGCCCAGAGATGGGAACAGTATTCCATGTGAGGCCGAACCTGCGCCTTGTAAAGTTGCAGGCGGTGTGCCGGCATGAAATACTGTCCCGCTCTGGTTTCGGTTTGGAGGTTCAACCTCAAGTTTGCTTCCTTTAACAAGTCGAGTACGGCTTGCAACTTTTCAATTCCTTCGTCTATTGTTTTGGATGCAATTATTATATCGTCCATGTATGCTAAAACTCCTGGAATATTACGTTTTTTTAGAAGATTCAAAATGAGCCTCTGAAATACCGCCGGAGCATTGGTCAGCCCAAATGGCATACGATTGTATTCGTAGTGCCCATCTGGAGTGACGAAGGCCGTTAGTGGTTTCGACTCCTCTGATACTGGTACTTGATGGTATCCAGAAGTAAGGTCAAGCGTCGTAAAGAAAACCTGACCGGAGAGGCTATCTATCTGATCATCGATCAGAGGCATCGGGAAATTTTCTCTAATAGTCTTCCTATTTAATGCTCTGTAGTCAACACAAAGCCTTGACTCGCCGTTCTTTTTTGCGACTAATATTATAGGGCTAGCGTACTGAGATTTTGACTCTCGTATGATGCCATTAGTCAACATATCGCTGATGATGGCATTGAGTTTCCCGCGTTCAGATATTGAGAGTCGATATGGCCTGTAGGTTACCGGTTCATCATCTTTGAGCTTGATGTGCATTTCAGCGTGAGAAGTTTGTCCCAGTTCCTCAAGTGAAAATGCAAAACAATCGCGTCGTGAATTTATTATTTCAAGTAGCCTGTCTTTTACTTCACATTGTAGACCATCGTCTACGTTAAGCTGATCGACAGTTATAGTCTTAGTTGAGTCGTTTGTTGTTATGCTACTAATATTTTTTATTATAGTTTCATCTGTTGTAACTTTAGGCAATAGTTCGTTTGAAATGAATGTCGCTCGAGAGATTAACGTACCCTGTGGCAAACTAAATGGTTCTGAATTTAAACTGATCACGATGACGGTCCCCTTTCCGTGTTCTATAGAATACACCCCCGGAATCACCATGTATTCCTTGCCTTTCTTTAAACAGGGATCTGTAGAAACGAAAATAGAACCGCTCGCTTTAACTGTTGTGCCACATGTAACAATTGTTACTCCAGAAAGTAAAACGCTTTCTATAATAACTATTGGAAGTTTTTCAGTTTGAGTACCCAATTTCTTGTAAAATGTTAATTTAGTGTCAGATTTATACGCTTGTACATCTGGAAGTTCTGTGAAGGATTGTCCAATCAAAACATCTGCTGGCAATAAATTGGGCTCCACTAAATAGGCTTCTACTCTTTCATTTATTCCATCTAATTCCACTTGAATGATGATTCGGCCATACGGAATTAAGATACCATTGCCAAATCCCTTCAATTTTGGTAAATTGATGTTATCAATCGGGATGTTCAACTTTAATCCTAAATCTTTTCTTAATAACGTGCACTGACTACCAAAGTCAATAAAACCTGATATTATTTGACCATTTACTTTAACTTGTTTATAGTATTTATTGCCTCTGCTGTCGTTATTTGTAATCTTTAGTACACTTTTGGTTGTATTCGTGGTGTTTAGGATTAATCTTTGATCTTTTTTGGTTGGATCTGCAAATCCATTACAGTCTTTTTCTGTGTGACCATAGCGTCGACACTTTTTACATTTAATAAGCTCCTTGGAACATCTTGTGACAGTGTGACCTTGTTCACCACAGTTAAAACATGTTATCAGAACTTGTCTTCTCACGTTTAAGTCCATAGTTTTCTTAATGTGACTGTGGTCCGTATTATCACGATTAATCGGAGTGTATCTCTTAACCGTGTCTACAACCTTACTCGATATATTTCTAAAGTACTTCAAGACTTCTTCAGGTTCTTGAAGGTTGGCTCCTTGCACATTCATTCTCACATTTGAATCAAATATTCCGTGAGTCAAGCAATCTACCGCATGCCTGCCTTTAAGTTCGCATCTGTTGACAAGCATAATTTTGTCGTAATAATACTCTTCCAATGTTTCGTTGCGTCTTGTTTTTCGTATTAACATTTCGGACAACAAGTCCCCATAGTTCTGCTCACACGGGAATGCAGATAAAAGTTTATCTTGCCATTCCGACCAGGTATATTTAATGCTTGTTAGTCCATCATACCAACGTTTGGCTAAACCTTTCAGCTTAGGCAAAGCACAGAATATCGTTTGACGTTCTGACCACCCGTACACATGTGCTGACTCGTTTATTTTAGAAAGCCAATCTTTCATTGTCTGTGACTTAGCTTGTGGGTCGAATTCTGCTATCATGTGCTGAGCGTTATGTATGGCAGTACCAGGAGACCCAGCATTAATTTTATTGTTGAGAACACTAACTAATTGCTCTAGCAGCGTTGTATTCGGTGTTTCCTTTAAACTAAGTGACTCGCGTGAACCATGACACCGTACTTTAGAATTATGGCTTTTGGATAAAATTGAAGAATTTGATCTACTTCGCTTCACAGTATTTCTCGAATGCCTTTGAGTATATTCTGTTCCCGATCGTCCCGATTCTGACAACAAATTTCTACCTTTTGACGAGCTACTTAAGCTACCTCGGTCATGTGATTGTCGTTTATTATATGTCCGAGACATGACGCGGTATCGATTCCTTGATGATACTGGTGTCCGACAACGGCTTCTACGATGACTGTATTGCGACGTATGAGAGCGATTATCACTCTCTGCAGGAGAACGCGATGCAGTCCTCCTATATTTACTGCGAGAGCATGAAACTTTGCGATTACTTCTACTTGATGACATTCGCTTATCCGTGATATGAGTATTACTACTACTGCGTCTGGGTGGTAAAGGTGGTGTTGCATTTGGTGTTGTATTTTCATTAATGGGGTCACACGAATAAGAATTCATTGTTAATAGCTTTAGGGCTTAAGGAAGTGGACTGGAATGAACTCAAATCTGAAATATTCAGAAATGTCTATGTAAATAAATATATCTCTTACAATGGCATATCAACTTCTTGAGTTTTGTATAATATACATATGACTTCATAGCAACTTAAGTCAAATAAATATAGAACACTAACTAAATTTGCTAGAAGAATTTTAATATATGTACCTCTTGTAGTCTCAACACTCAGAGGTCAAGAAATAAAAAAAAGTTATATTAAATAAACAATCCTATAAAAGTAGTTACTAAACATATCCCATAGGTATTACCTAATAAGGTTTGTTTGACCAACCTCATCAATAGGGTCATTTACTATCACAGGGTATGAAGGCAATACTTAGTAAATGTATATATATTTGTATGGTTCAACCCGGAGCATATGACTTGGCAGGCAAATATTGTTCACTGAGTCATAAGTTCATCATTACATTATAAAATACTGATTGAACAGGTCACAATTATCTCTCAATATGAGTAAATTAAAATACAATGAAGAAAATAATAGACAACTTCCAATAATATAAAGTTATTATCTTCATATTCAAACCCTTCATTTTCTAATTCACTTAACTGATATGTATTTCAGCCATTTTGTTACCTTTGGGAGAACTAACTATAAAACATTAAAGGAAATGTATTAAGGTTTATTCATAATAAAAATATATTCTAATAAAAATTGTTAAAAGGCAACTGTTTCACAATATTATTAAATAAATTAAGATGTACACTCTAAACACATGTAGAAAAACTTACCTTTCCACTATAAGGTTTACTGGAAGAGAAATCTTATCAAATTAAGGTCACCTTTATGCATATTTAACATTAATCAGTTTCATGAAAATTTTATTATATATTAGAACAGACTCATTAGTGTGTGCCTCGATGAATCTTCTATTGAAGTATGAGATGGCAAGATAATATATAAACAGTTAAATATTTTCTTTTTTTTATATTATAGGAGTAAAATTTTGTGGTATTGATATTGCCATGGGCTTAGCTTTCCATTGACGTCAGTGGAGTTTGGTGTTGATACGTATTTTTATAGAAAGATTACACTATTATAAGCACACACACAAAGTCTCAATATACGGAAACGCGTAATTTTTGAGAAAAGAATAATTGAAAATCAATTATTCTTGCAATGTTTATGTCTAATCTGCTAATAAACTGGCGCCATTTTGTAATGTCATTGTCGACGTCAATAGGGATGTCGATTCTTTCCGAAAAAGGTCGATTTTTAAATCGATTCAAATCGTAAGCTGATGTATCGGTTCACAAAAAATCGATTTCTAAAATATCTATTTTTTTTTTAATGTTTCTATTTATAATGTAAATATAAACCCATTTTATGAAAAACAAGAAAGACACCATGATAAATGATCTCTAATTGAAAGAGCAATGGCAGACTTTCATACATAAAATTAGTTGAGAAGAAATGGTAGCGTCTATATACCAAAAATATCTTAAAATGTTAAGCGTCAGTCCCTTAATAACTCTGTCAAAGAATTTTGTACTAAGAAGGCGTCAAAAAAAGGATATTTACGTTTGAACCTTTTTAGTTTATGTCATATGTCACTTGGAAAAAGTCATGCTTCCTGTGGTTGTTTGATGTTAGCTTAATACATAATACATAATTGAGAGTTTTTAGATTATTGTATCTCTATTCTATATTTGCATACTATAAATGTATATTTCTGTCATGGCTTTTGTACCATAGTGACATTCTCAGAAGGGCTAGAACCCAGAGCCGTAAAGCCAGTAAAAAAAACAGTGACATTTTATTTTAGCTAGTGTTGGCATAACATTAAATGGAATTGTTACATAGTGCTATGATTGAGATAATGTATTATTGTAGGAAATACTTTGTAAGAGACTTATTCTCAGCCATATCACTTTTATTTTTGTTATTACTGATAGTACAGTTATTACTAATAATAACTTAATATAAAAATATTTTGTGTGTTGTGTTGGTAGTGTTACAAAGTGTATACGAAAATAGTATGAATATACTAAATGGCAACATTTGAATAGAGTAAAATGATATAAGTCATTTGATATTCCCAAAAATTTTTGTTTTTTTCTGTGGCTTTAATTAAAATACATTTTTATTTGAAAAATCATAGAAAAATAATAAAACTCATTTTATATATAACTTATTTCTAGACGCTATAATTTTTGTCAACTATTTTTCTGCCATTGCTCTTTGTTTTATTTAACAGTACCTATTAGGGCAGATAACAAATAAAATAGGTTAGGTTCAACTTATGTCAAAGAACCGAATTGATTGACCCCGACTCCACCTGGTACGAGTCTGTCCTACCCCTAGAGTGGTTTTATAGAGCCGGAGGCACGTAGGGGGAGCAGCCTCCGTCTGCTGTAACAAATCGTAGGCATCGGACGAGCCGGAGCGGCTGAGGCTGGTCGCCGAAGGCGACCAACAAGCCGAAGCCGCGGAGGCGAGCAGGGATGCCTGCGATTTGTTACGCTAAGGCGTAGAGGTTGCTCTTCCCGCAGCGCCGGAGACGTAGCAGTCTCAAAATAGATACAGAAATCCTTATGAATCAGTCCCCTTATTTTTTTATGATGAAGGGGATTTTTTTCTCATAAAATGGATTTATATTTACATTATAAATGCAAACATGAAAAAAATATCGATATTTTAGAAATCGATTTTTTGGGAATCGATACATCAGCTTACGATTTGAATCGATTTAAAAATCGACCTTTTTCGGAAAGAATCGACATCCCTATTGACGTCGACAATGACATTACAAAATGGCGCCAGTTTATTAGCAGATTAGACATAAACATTGCACGAATAATTGATTTTCAATTATTCTTTTCTCAAAAATTACGCGTTTCCGTATATTGAGACTTTATGTGTGTGCTTATAATAGTGTAATCTTTCTGTAAAAATACGTATCAACACCAAACTCCACTGACGTCAATGGAAAGTCGTACCTTGCAATGAGATATTTAATGAAGTATGCTTGTTACCATTTTACATCAACATTAATGATCAAATCTCATTCTAAATTAAGATGTTTTTATATCTTCACATATATTAAAGCATGTCCTAAGTATTAGTAAACTACATGTTTTATATTTATTCCAGAAAATGCATATTTTTCCAATGTAATAAGCATGTGCATAAGTATATCACATAAATTATTAAATGCAGCTGGGGTGGCTACTAAGACAACATTATACAAAAGTACATGCAATCAAAAACGTTACATGAATAGGTACAAAGACATTAAACTTGATTTACACATATAAATATTTTTATATAAATAGGTAACTGACATGATTTCTGTTCGAGCAGTTAATTACTTTTTTTTTGAATCAGGAATCTTTCCACTCCCCCAATAATATGATAATGATGATACAATCAAGTATTTATTAATACCTGATCATAATAATTGATTAATTGCTTAAATTTTGAACTTTACAACATTCTCCATTTTGTTTGTTAAACTTATGAGCTAATTAGATATAATTCACTTACCAAATCCTCACTTATTTTACCTTTCAGTAGATTTAGTGTATAAAACACATGGGCTAACTAATCACACTTCTGAATTGTTAATGAAATAATAAGTTTAGACTGTTTAAATCTTTTAATCTGTTATTAATTTTTAAACACAGCAAATTTCAAACTACTAGACCTCCGTTTTTTTTCTAAAAGTTGCCAGTTATATAAAAACAACTCCCTAGGAGGCTATTAATACCATAGTGATTTATAACAATTTTCCCAAGTAATTTAAATAACAATATTTAAACAATAAAAAGGACAGAATTAAAACCTTAAATTAATATTTTTAACATACTGGACTGCAATTCTATGCGTAATAATTCTATGGGTGTTCTATACTTATAATTCGGTAAAAAGTATCTAAGTAGGTACTAATATACCTACTTTTTACTAAAAAAATTTAAAACTAAATTTAACTAAAAAGACTAAACTGACCATTTATTTTTTAACTCAAAACAGGACATGGGTTTATTTATACTCTAAAAACTATAACTTTATACAATTAGTGTTCACTATAAAATTATATTCGGTATAGACGGTAATTATTAAACGCAACATATTTTTTTTTAATTATTAATTACATTTGTCAGTGGATTAAATTTGCTTTAATAAAGTTGGTGATGATTTTAAATAAGAATAAAATTCTGCTCAAGTTTTTTTTTATTGTTATCTTTGTTAACAACATCGCCTTTAGAACTCTGGAACCGTAAGTGTTTCTTTAAGACGTCCACAATTTATTCAAAATAAAAAAATACTCTTTCTACCGGAGCATTCGTACCAGGTAGACATAAAATATATTCGATTAAAAAAATTATGTTGAAGATTGTTGACTTTGAATACTTCCATCCAACGAGTTACGGGACAATTTTGTGTCCCGGAGCTTTGTTTGGGTACAATGGGACAGGTGACCGAGAAAAGGGACAGTCCCGTTCAAAACGGGACGTATGGTCACTTTAGCTATAACCCGGCGACGGCTCCGTGGCGCAGTAGCTTAGCAATCAGTTGTTGTGTTGGGGGCCGCGGGTTCGAATATCGCACGGAACAAGTATTTGTATGGCCTACAAATAATTGTTCCGGGCCTGGATGTTTGGCCTTGTGCAATTTATGTTTGTAAACTGCCTCCAAGACACAGGAGAAAATCCTAGTGTGGGGGTAACGTTTTTTTACAATTGAAATTGAAAGATTGAACCCTTATACTTCTTGTTGATTTTTGTTCTACCTTTATTAAAGTTACCCTTATGTATAAATAAATATAATTACGTATGTAGAAATAAAATTGATTTTCATCCTCATCAATCATTGGGGCGAGGATAATGTCTGCCAGCATAAGTAATAAGCAGGCTAAGTTACAAGGTGCTCAGTTCAAAAATTTGTAGGTAGGTAGGTTTGCTACTTTTCAATACGTGACACGTAAAAATTAACAATA